CTCAGTTCTGCATAGAAATTTATTCATGTAGTCATTCAACAGTTAAGTGTCTGCAATGTGCTATACCCAAAATTAAGTAAAGCAGAGTTTATCTGAAATAGACTCCTAGAATGTATTTAAAATTGTTACCTGAGGCCAAGAATGGAATACTGGAAAGATATTGGGCATGTAAGGAAGACTGGACAACTGGGCCTCAAGAGAAAGCAGTAAAGTGACCTGGGAAATCATCGCTTCATCAGGAGCGTGTGGTCTTCCCTTCAGGTGCTGTAATCAGTCACCAATTTCGAGGCAGTGAAAGTCTCGTTCCAAGTTCTAAAGGCCTGGGAAAGTGAATCTTTCCAATATTGCTACGTAACAATTTGCCTCAAAATTTAAGAGGCTTAAGATAACTTCTCAGAGGCTGTGGGTTGACTGGGCTCGGCCGAGCAACTCTCCCTTCCCTTGGGGTCTTCGGTGGATGCGATGGAATGGTAGCTGGGGATGGCATCACCCGAAGGCTCAAACAGGATGGACGTCCAAGATGCTTCCTCACTCCCATGTCTGGCATCTCTGCTGGAAGTCAGGGGTTGGCTGAGTATTTCTCTTCCTAAACAGCCTCTCTACATGGTTATCTTGAAATAGCATAGGGTTGTCATAATGTAGTAAGACTTCTTAATTAGCAGCTGACTTCCACCGGGGTGGGCATTCCGAAAAGCACAAATGTAAGCTGCAAGGCTTGCTATGGCCTAGCATTGGGTGTCACTTCTGCCCTATTCTACTGATCGAAAATGAATCATAGGACTAGACCAGACTCAAGAGGAGGGGGGCACATAAGGACTTGAATACTGTTCACTGAAGGGGCATCTTTGGAGACTAGCTGCTAGAGAATTTGGGGATTCCACCTGGGGCAGATCCAGATTTTATATCATTTGAAGCATATACAGTTTGGAGGACCTTGACAAGTGAGGGCCTGAAGCAATGAGAGGCCCTGAAGCTAGAGCTTCATGAACTTCACAGTTAATCTGTTTCTGACCCCCCCTTCCCAAATTAGCTATGGTAAAGGAGCAAATGTGGCTTTGGGGAACCCACTTATACTTGTGTACTGGGATACTTTCCAGACAAGGAAGAATCATTGTGAGCCTTCCCCACCTCTCACCACAGTGTCCAGTGTTCAGTTCAATATAATCTGATCACCTGAATGTCTAGAACCCAGGTCTCCTGACATCTAATGGTGAATTTTCAAATACACCATATTCCACAGTGGTACAAATTCTTTTTAATATATTTTATTGATTTTTTATAGAGAGGAAGGGAAAGTCAGAGGGATAGAGTGTTTGAAACATCGATGAGAGGAACATCAATCAGCTGCCTCCTGCACACCCCCTACTGGGGATGTGCCCTCAACCAAGGTACATGCCCTTGACCAGAATTGAACCTGGGACCCTTCAGTCCGCAGGCCGACACTCTATCCACTGAGCCAAACCAGTTAGGGTTCTTTAAAATCTTACTCTAGCCCTAACCGGTTTGGCTCAGTGGAAAGAGCGTCAGCCTGGGGACTGAAAGGTCCCAGGTTCGATTCCGGTCAAGGGCATGTACCTTGGTTGAGGGCACATCCCCAGTAGGGGGTGTGCAGGAGGCAGCTGGTCGATGTTTCTCTCTCATCGATGTTTCTAACTCTCTATCCCTCTCCCTTCCTCTCTGTAAAAAAATCAATAAAATATATTTAAAAAAAAAATAAAAAAAATAAAAAAAATAAAATCTTACTCTATCCTCTCCATACCTTTTCTCTCTGGTTGCTCCTTAAATGTTAATGTCCTTCAAGGTTTCTTCTCATTCTATTGGGAAAGCTTGGATTAAGGCAGTAGCAAGACATATGGGGGTGTTTAAATGACTTCAAGATTAATATTGAAAGTAAATCACAAAACGTAGTGATGGATTGAATTTAGGGGGTGAGAGAAAGAAAGCAAGGATAGTTTCCAGTTTTTGACTGGAGCACCTATAGTTGGGTGTCACTACCACTCATTCCATCTCCAAAGGCCTTATCCTCTAACTACTTTTCCCACCAACTCCATATCCAATCAGTCACTGGATTAGTCAGAATTATCCATAGAAACGGGACCAATATGATGTGTGTATTATTTAGAAATTTATTTTAAGGAATGGCTCACGATATTTTGGAGCTGGCTAGTCTAAAACCTGCAGGGCAGGCCAGCAGGCTGGAGACCCAGGGAAGACCTGATGCTGCGGAGTCCAAAAGCAGGCTGGAGACAGAATTCCTTTTTTCCTCAGTGTTTTTTTTTTATATATATTTCTTTATTGATTTCAGAGAGGAAGGAAGAGGGAGAGATAGAAACATCAATGATGAAAGAGAACCATCGATCAGCTGCCTCCTGCACGCCCCCTACTGGGGATGGAGCTGGCAACCCAGGTATGTGCCCTTCAGTCTGCAGGCCAACGCTCTATCCACTGAGCCAAACAGGCTAGGGCTCCTCAGTGTTTTTTTGTTGTTTTTTTTTTAAATATACAGTGGGGCCTTGACTTACGAGTGTCCTGACTAACGAGTTTTTCAAGATACGAGCCGTCTCTTGGCCGATTTTTTGCTTTGAGTTGTGAGCTAAAATTCGGGTTATGAGCCAGCTTCAGATACCCCACCGCTAGCTGGCGCAGCGAACGTCACAGTGAACGTCACAACATCATTCCAGCATCATGTGTCATTGTAATGGTGAAAACTGATTTGACATACGAGTAATTTGAGTTACGAGCTCCGTCACTGAACAAATTAAACTCGTAAGTCAAGGCCCCACTGTATTTTGATTTTTTTACAGAGAGGAAGGGAGAGGGATAGAGAGTTGAAAATATCGATGAGAGAGAAACATTGGTCAGCTGCCTCCTGCACACCCCCTACTGGGGATATGCCCGCAACCAAGGTACATGCCCTTGATCAGAATCGAACCTGGGACCCTTGAGTCCGCAGGCCGACGCTCCATCCACTGAGCCAAACTGGTCAGGGCTCAGTGTTTTCTTAAGGCCTTCAACTAACTGGATGAGAACCATTCATATTATGCAGGGTAATCTGCTGTACTCAGTCTACTTAATTGTTAATAATATATAACAAATACAGCAAAAACCAGACTAGTGTTTGACTAAAAATTAGGTACCATGGACTAGCCAAGATGACACAAAAAATTAACCATCACAGCCATTAAATTCTGTGTATCTTAATCTTTAAATATTTCTCAGATTGGTTCCTCCTTTTGTTACCATTGCCTTATTTGAGGCTTGTGTTATTCTCACTTAATTAAAAAATATTTAACTATGTATTACACACTGTGCCAAATGCTGGAGATACAACTGTGAATAAAAGATAGATTGTGCTCTAGGGACTTTACATTCCAGCCTTTCCTTGCCGTCTTCTGTCTTGCCTCTTCCCAATACATCTTTGTAAATGGATGTCTGTGATCACTTCCTCTCTCATTTTAATCTGCTGAGTCATCTGAGGGTCTTGTTAAAAGGCAGCTTCTGATGCATTAGGTCTGGGATGGTCTGAGATTTTGCATTTCTATCAGGCTCCCCAGGTGTTGCTGCTGGATTAGGAACAAACTTAGAGTAACTGTACTGTAGAGTCTCTCTCCAAAGAGATCACCTTTTTAAAATGTGTATCTGTACACTCTCTGAAAAGACACACAAGAAATGGGAAACAATAGTTGCCACTGGAAAGAACAGAATGGCCGACAATTGTACATTCCCTTTTATAACCCGAATGATGCACTCAGTCTGTGTGCTACATATTCAAAAATAAATTAAGAAAACAGCAAAAACAAAATATCTCCAACTGTTCGCTTTTAAAAACCCTGCCGTGGAGCCCAGCGACCCACAGGTCGGAACGCAGCGTAGCCTCTCCGAAGTCCTTCATTACGAACAGTTCACCTGCTGAGTTTATCTCCAGTTCACCCCTCGGTCAGGTCAGGCAGCGCTTGTGTCATCTCCACCGGAAATGCACCTGAGCAAACTTCACTGGATCTTTCCAAACCCCCGCTTCCGCAGCGCTCCTCTCCCGCCTCCTCCCCTCTCCCCCACGGTTAAAGTCGCCTTTTTATATGTATTAACCTCACAATGCTGCCGTCTGTCTCAGTCAGCACACTGGGCCAGAACTTATTTACGCGTCCATCTTAGCTCCTTGACTGTGCGGACCTGAGGACCAGGCGAGAGCGCATGCCGAGCGAGGACCGCGTCCAGAGGTTATTCCGCGAGAGGATGAGCCTGCGCCGGCCGCCAGCGGCTCGCAGGAAGCGGCGATCCCCGAGCACCGTGCTCTCTCTGATCCCTGCGAGACGCCGGCCAAGCCGACCTGCCAGGCGCTGAGTCCGCGCACCCGGCAGGGAAGGCGGCCAGGGGCCCCGCCCTCGGCGCTCGCTCCTTCCCGGGCGCGCCGCGCACGCCGGCTTCCAGGCCCAGGGCCCCTCGCCCGGCGCACGGCGGCGCCCTCCGGGGGCTGGGGAGGCCGGTCCACCGTCCCCGTCCCCACAGGCGGACATGGCGTTCAGAGCCCGGTTCCGAGCGTGGGGGTCTCCTTGGCGTCCGCCACCTGCCACCTGCGGCGAGCAAAGGGACCGACCGGTCGGGGCGGGGGTGGGACAGGCCGGGAAGGGAGGCGAGGACCGGCCAGGACCAGGCGAGAGGCAGCGCTGCTAACTTTCTTGCACTCACGCTTCTTCCGCCGGGCCCAGGCTGGCGGGGCGGCCTCCACGCCGCTTGCTCCCTCCCGCCCCGCGTCGCTGGGCACCGAGTGTCCGCCGCGCCCTCCCGAGCTCTCCGCGGCGCCGCCAGCCACGTCCCACGCCCCCTTCCCGCCCGCGCGCGTGTCGCTGCCGCCAGAGGGGGCGGGGCCCGGGCCCGGGCGTCCAGTCAGCCACGGTCCCAGCGTGCCCTGCGCGGGCCAACGAGAGCGAATCCAGAGACTCACCCCGCCGCGCTCGCTCCTCGCTGGCTCTCCCCTCACACACGCTCACGCCCGGCTCGACATGGCGGCGGCGGCGGCAGCGGGGGACTCCGACTCCTGGGGTGAGGGGAAGTTCCGGGGGCCGGGAGCGGGCCCTCGCCCCGGCTGGCACTAACGCGGCTCGCTCTCTTCCGTAGATGCGGACACGTTCTCCGTGGAAGACCCGGTGCGGAAGGTGGGGGCCGGCGGTACGGCCGGCGGGGACCGCTGGGAAGGCGAGGACGAGGACGAGGACGTCAAGGTGGGTGCGGGCCGGGGCTGCGGGCTGCGCCGTCGCGGGCGGGAGTTGCCCACCGCTGGGCGGGCGGGCGGGCGGGCGGACTCTGGGCCCAGGGGCGCCGCCCGGGCCTGCGAGCCCTGGGTGGGGCGCGAGCTTAGGGCCCGACGCTGCCCTCTCTCCCTCCGCTCGCCGACTGTGTGGCCGGGACGGGCAGCGTGGCCTTTCGGATTTCCTCGGCGAGGCGGCGGCGGCCCTGCCCCAGCCCTTGGTCGGTCCGCGCCCCGGCCTGCATCCCACCCGCCAACTGGCGACGGGAGGTGACAGCAGCGGCGGGGCGGCCCACGTGCAAACTTCGTGGTCCGGAGCCCCTGGCCGCGATGAGGCTGGCGACGTGGGGACGGAGCCCCCCGGCTTGTCCCATATGGGACACCTCGCCACGCGCCCGCCTGTTCGAGCGCCTGTCTCCCCAGAACCAGTCATTCATTCACGTCCCCGAAGGCCCAGTGGTAGAGTTGGTACAATTAGACAAGGGAACTGTTGTGGCTTAAGTCTAACTTTTTCACGCAGGAGAAATAGAAATAGTAAAGCGAAATAACTTTTCGCCTCCCTGCCCACACCCTGTGGTGAAAGGGTGAACTGAGTGCCGAAAGGGCCGGCAGTTACTGACCAGAAACGGGGCAGTCCGCAGCGACCGGGAAACCGTGAAGTTGACAGAGTGACATTCATCTTCACACGAGAGATGGAAGATTTGGAGGCTGGATTAGAGAGGGGCCAGTGCATCCTCTCAGGTGTGATCCAGATTTGCCCTCCTGGCTCATTTGTGAGCACTCCTGGGGGCTTAGCATATGGCTTCAGAAACATGACTATGGCGATTTTTTAAAAGTAGCCCATCATGTGAAGACTCTTATTAATAAAGTTCTCAACGTTTTTAAATATTTGTGCAGATAAAGTTTTGTATGAATTGGAAAATGGTATTTCGTGGTTTTGGGTTCATTTAGTGAATGTTTCACTCCCAACTTCTACTCGTTGGCATGTACTTAATTCTACAAGTCCTTCTGCTTGGGTTGAAAATTTTTAAGCTAGAAAATTACTATTAACTTAATACTCAGTACTGCTTTCTCCTGAGTCTGATGAGGTGAATGTACAATTTCTTGAACAACCTGAGGTTCAGAAACGAAGGGAGCTTTGCACACATTGGTGTTAATAAATGAGTAGTGTTGTGAAAGTACTTAGACATGGGAATGGATTATGTTAACCCCTTCGTTGCAAGATATAAGTGACTTCCCTACATTGTAGAACATTTTCTGTTTGGAGCATTTAGTTCAGATTTGCCCTTTTAATTTTTCTATGTATATTTGGGTGCAGCAGTTAAGATACCTGTTAATGAAAATTGGAAATAAATTACCAAATGAGAAGAAAATATTAGAGAAATCTGGACAAAAATATCAGAAAATGAGGTTTGAATGGAGTAATCTGGGCTGATATCATGAAGTAAACTGCCTGAGATTACTGGATCTATGGTATTAATCCTGATAAATGTAATTCTAATTCTGACCACTTGGAATTAATTTTGGAGATTTACGAGTTTAAAGGACTATAAAAGTCATCTCGCCAATTCACTCTTTCAATGCAGAATTTCTTTCTCTTATACAAATAGCTTATTTATTTTACATAAACTTTGAAGTTGATCTTGGAGAAGAAAGCTGAACTTGCCTGTTTTATTTCCAAGTTTAAATGTTGGATTATTTCTGTTGAGTTTCTTCAAGATTCTCATAATGATATCCACGGAATAGTTTGATTCCTGGACTCCAGAATGGACAGACCTGGGTTGATATTGTTGCCTTGACATTTTTTATATTTGTGGTCATGAGCAAGTGTTTGATCTTTGTTTTAGTTTTCAGTCTGTAACTTGTCATTATGGGAGCTACCTCAGGGGTTAATTTACATTTTAAATGAGATTGCACGGGAAGCATTAAGCAGAATTGCCTGATACATAGTAGGCACTCAGTAAATGTTAATTGTCTCTTACTTTAAGATATTGTCTTTTTCTAGCTAATGGAATGTATGCTTAGGCTGTTTAGATCTAGTATTGGGGTTTATTTTGTACCACATTTTTTATTTCCTAAGCTCAGAAGGATTAAGTTCTCGCCATAGTGGCAGTTTATTGTGAATTTTATGGGTTGTTTTCTTTTAAGGTCACAAAGTTTTCTTTAATTATTCTTTGGGGGAAGAGACGCCGCCACACTTCTACTCAATTAAGAGAAACATTTTTATCAGCACAGAAGTCATCTTTATTTTTTCTACTTACAATGCCATGAATTCATAGGGAATGGGTTCCAGCAGCTCAGGCTCCTTCCCATTGGTTCTCACAGAGTGCTTCTCTGGGTGGAGCAGGCCGATGCTTCAGTTGAACCCAGGTACCTTTCTCGTTGGCTTCCTTCTTTTTCTGATCATTTTCCTTCACATGTTTCAGGAAGCTGTCTTGCTCTTAGAGTGCCTAATATGCTCAATATGTACATTAATTCTCTTGGCAAGAAGCTTGCCCTTAACTTGCTTGTTCACAAAAAAGCCAACTGCATGCTGGGTGACATTGTTCACTCTTCCAGTTTTGCCATGGTAACATTTGTGGGGCATTCCTTTTTGAACAGCACTCATTCCCTTGATGTCCACAGTATCACCTCTCTTGTAGGTTTGTATATATGTGGCCAAAGGAACAATTCCATGTTTTCTAAAAGGCCTAGAGAACATATAGCAGGTGCCTCTCCTCTTTCCCTTTGTGTTAGTCACTTTGGCAAATTACTGGAAGATGGCAGTTCCGGCCGAAAGGCTGAATTTTATATTTTGAATGGAATGATCAAGTTTATCAAGCAAGGTTTTGCTTGCTCAAAGGTTACCAATCAAAGTTGAATTTTCTCTCCTTGGATGGTAGTAATACCACATATCTGAATTCTAATGTTATAGTACCTAATCCTTTCCTAAGGAGATGCCAACAAGGCTTAGTTTCCATGAGATTGAGTAATCACCATCCTTAATACAATATGGGAATTTTTAAAAATGTTTTCATTAATTTCAGAGAGAGGAAGGAAGAGAGAGAGAGAAACATCAATCGGCTGCCTCCTGCATGCCCCCAACTGGTGATTGAGTCTGAAACCTGGGCATGTGCCTGACTGGGAATTGAACCATGACCTCTTGGTTCATAGGTCATCCCTCAACCACTGAGCCACACCAGCCAATATGAGACTTTTTTAAAGTCTTCAGAAGATATGGGGGAAACAGTAAGTTTTCAGTTTATATCAGTATCTAGTGTTTAACCTTTAAGAATGTATATTTAGACTGGCCGCGCATCCCAGCAGCCGACAATCCTGCCACGCGTCCCGCCAAGACCTCACCAAAATACCGTCTCAAATGGAACATGCCATGGAAACCATGATGTTTACGTTTCATAAGTTTGCTGGGGATAAAGGCTACTTAACAAAGGAGGACCTAAGAGTACTCATGGAAAAAGAGTTCCCTGGATTTTTGGAAAATCAAAAAAACCCTCTGGCAGTAGACAAAATAATGAAGGACCTGGACCAGTGCTGAGACGGCAGAGTGGGCTTCCAGAGCTTCTTTTTACTAATTGTTGGACTCACCATCACATGCAATGACTATTTTGTAGTACACATGAAACAGAAGGGAAGGAAGTGAGCAGTTATTTTGCCCTGATAATAGTTCTCCCAATGGGTCCCTTAAGGAATATGTGCCCCACAGCTTCCCCCTATATAAGAATTTCATGAACAGATTGGGACCCTTAAAAAAATGTACAAATAAAATCCCACCCCATTGACCAAGAGAAAGAAAAGCCAATAAAACCGGATAAACTTTTGATTTTTATATTGCTTGTATCCTCTTGCCCCCCAATAAACAAGTTTCTTTAAAAATATATATATATAGATTTAATGTCATCTGTAATGTCCTGAGGAATGAAAGGAAAACAGGTCTTTGTTACAGTAATTTACTCCAGTAGTTTACTATCTTTTAGTAGACATTATAGCATTTTGCTGCGCTTGACTTTTAAAATAGCTGTCTGACAATGGCAGAAGTGGTTTAGGTAAAACTATGGAATTGTTAATATTAGTGGAGGGAAAGCCTATGTTTCTTCCACTTAAAAAGGTTAGAACCAGGGAGCATACTTTCCTGTTACACTGGCTTTATTTTACTTTTCTTACTATACTGATGTTATACAGAGGCTGTGGGGGGAATTGTTCGTTCGGCATATATTGCTGGACTCCTTCCCCGTTGCTGGAATGATGTATGGGCTGTGTTGACAAGGCAGTGAGTACCTACCCACTGCAAGCTGGGATAGTACAACTTTTACTGCATTTTACTAGTCTCCCAGCATTTCAGTAGAACAGATTAGAAACTAGATTTATTCAAAGAGTGTACAGTTTGCTTTGAGAAAACTGCTTCTGATTGTGTTCAGCGTCTCAGGCATTTGCTTCTATAATGTTATAGAATTTCTTATGAAGACCCTAGAGTTGAAAACTGCCTGCATCGTCCTACCCATTGAACCATCTGTTAGGATCCTTTATGGGTTAATAGCTTAAATCTGTCACAGTAAGGACATTTTTCAAGCACTGGAAATAGCACTTCTGAAGCAGGGGATCTATGTTTAGAGAAATGGGAGATTGTTGGGAAATATTCAGAAGGTGAGCATTTTGCCAGGACATGGGTATCTTGAAGTATGTGTGTAACTTATGAAAAATTCCAAACATATACAGAAGTAGAAAGAAAAGTTTAATAAATTCATGGCCAATCTTCTTTCTTCTATATCCCCACTTACATCTCTCCTCCCCCAACCAGATTTTTTTTTCCCTGACTCGAGGATATTTTTCCATTGAAAGACAGAGAGAAACATCTATGTGAGACAAACACATTAATTGGTTGTCTCCTGAATGAGCCCCGACCAGGGCCTGGGCAGGAGAGGATCCTGCAACCGAGGTATGTGCCCTTGACCGGAATTGAACCCGGGACCCTTTGGT